GAATAGCACGTCTTTGTAACTTGAAGGCATATTTTGACTGTGGACAATTTCCCCAAGCAATTATTGCATACGATAATATGCTAATGACATAGTGCATATGCGTTTAATACAACTAATTGAGAAACACTATTTACTAATTATCTACGTAATAGAAAAAGATTTCGGTTAAATTTAATAGATATCGACCTAATATGTACATTAAAAGATAATTTGGAGTCTAAATGTACACCCAGAAACTTCACAGATTCACTATCACTAACGTTATGAGTTTTTAGAGTCATAATCAGTTTTTCAGTTTTTGCTGCATTCATTGACAATTCATTTCTTATGCACCACGAATTTACTAATTTAAGATTGGCTTCAGAAGCATGAAGTGCAGTTTCCATATTATGGTCATGTGCCAGTAAAGTGGCGTCATCAGCGTAAAGTACGCAGGTGGTGCCTTTTAGTATTGATAACGGCATATCATTAATATATATATAAGGAAAAGTAAAGGCCCTAGTATGCTACCCTGTGGCACTCCTCTTACCACGGGAATTTTATCCGAGATTGTATTCTGTACAGGTTCTCTAGTCTTTTTGTCAACAATAATTATGGAGGATAATTCATCCCGTTGCAACAGTGTGGGAAAAGTATGCTTCAGAAAATCAAATTGTTTTCGTGTCTTCCTAATCATACTTTTTAATAGAGGATTTTTCAAATCGCTGGATGCATACTTAAAATTACTAGGAAAGCTCACAAGTAAGTCAAGTAAAAAACAATGAGAAGAAGCAGAAGAAGTTCTCTACACTAATTCATCTAACTATGGGCGCGTTCATAAGACTCAACTGTTGTGGAACAGTTAGCGATACGTCTTGTAATTACGTCGCTACTTTTACGCTCTTTCCGAAGCAGTCGGCCATTTGTAGTAGCGCTACACAAGTCAATGTAGGGATCGTGACATAGGATCATAACTGTTACCGATACGCTACGTAACTGTTGTGTCTTATAAACGAGCCCATAAAAATAAAGACAAAGACAATAAAATAAAATAAAATAAAATAAAAAATAAAATAAAATAAAATAAAATAAAATAAAATAAAATAAAATAAAATAAAATAAAATAAAATAAAATAAAATAAAATAAAATAAAATAAAATAAAATAGCGAATCCCGGCGTTTGAGAATCATATCACATGGAAAGCCGCCATGTTGGTCACGTAAAACGAGCGTGTGATAAAAGTAATCACTATATTTACGTTTATTGGAGGTTACGCGATCTATAAACGTAAGTGCAAAGGTATGTGTAGGTAGTACGTTTACGTCAACACGTGCGTCATCATTTAAATCAAAAAGGGAAAGTGCTCTATTTATCCTAGAGCTTGCAATCGGTATGAGTGAACAAAAGAATAGAAATGGAAAATAACAGTTGAAGTAAACCTTTTTGGTGAACTAATCACAGATATAGTACGTATATCTGTGACTTCATAGATTTATCAGAAATTTTAGGACGGAAAATTCTGGCATGCTATTTCGGAAAAACCATTATAAATATGCGAAAACTGCCGACTAAAATCATAAATTTTCTCATACTTCCACTTGCTTCCGCTAAACTTACTCAAGTAGAATTTCGAGAAGACCCGCTCTTCTGACTCCATGGTCCACGACCTCATTAAACAATATACTAAATCCAATACTTTACACAGAAAGCCCCAATGACGACAAGTTTAAACATCGACCTGCGCAACGATTTAACTATAATATTAACACAAACCTTCCAAAATGGAATGTTATTACATTGTCTGCAGTAACGCAACACGATACGGACTCTACAAACAAGAATCAACTACGTTAATCGGCAAGTTCTCGAAGTATCTTCATTTTCGCTCAACTGCTCTACAAATAGTAATTTGATTTGTTTGAATTATTTTCTATAATTCTTAAAACTAGATTAGGCCCCAATCACGGCGTTTTCGTAGCAAGTGGTCTATTTTATCGATTTTCCGTTAGGTGAATTTCGATTATCTGGTTAATCATTGTGAAAATGTTCTTCGTGATGTACTAATGGGGGTTTAAAGTTTCGTAAAGGCGAAAAAAGCGAAAAGAAATTTGATTCGGTTCAAAGGACCAATATCTTGAAGTGCTCTTTTTAAGTAAATTTCATCGTAAAGATGGTAAAGATGCTGAGCATTTTACCTACGATTATTCAAAAATGTGCTTTGTTTATTTCCTCAAAGAAAAATCGAAACAAAATGAATGCTCAGAACGAATAAACAGAACAGTTGAACAGCCCGGAAAATTACTGGCATTATTTCCGGGGAAGACAAGAAGCGCAGAAAGTCAAGGTCCCGACACATTTCAAGGAGAAGATTTAATCGATCATGGAATTTGACAACGTCAAGAAGAAGATTATTTTGTCGATCAAGAGACCGGCACACCTACTCAAGAAGAAGAGGGGTTTGAGTGGACCAGAAGAAACTTTGGAAAAACGACATCTAAAAAATCGGAACGCTCTCAAAGCACCAAACAGGTTGTTGTATGTAAAGCTTCCCGAAGTTGTCGAACCAAAAAGTTAAAACGATGCAGGGAACGATGTCGATATAATCCCCCCCGAAAAAAGAATTGGATGGCTGCCATGAGCTATGGAATTATTTCCATAAGAAATGCGTTGTAACCTTCAAGGCATTAATTCAAGGTTGATTCTCGAATGAAACATACATGGTCTTGGTTAGTTTTTTTCTCTATCGAATAACGTAAATATCCAATATGGCGTCCATAAGAAATAAAAAAGTTGATATGATTTACTCAAAACCCACAAGTCTGAAGAATTATATTTTAACACCATCAGAAAGCTGAAAAAATTTACTAATGGTTTGTTGAAGTTATTTTATCTTTGAAAATAAGTTAACACCAGCGCATTCTCAAAAATAACAATTTTTGATATTTTGGTCGTAACTCCGCTCTTTGTGAGCTACAAGAAACTTTGAAAGGTAAAGTAATCAGTATTAAACTGTACATAACTTTGCCCTTCTAAACGACTTTGTATCTCTTACGGGTTACGAGATGCCCATTGCCCATAGTGAAAATGAAAAAACCCAGTGTTAACCAAATACGTTTACCAAGTGAAGACAAGAAATGAACTTGATTCGTGGGTAGGTCACGCGGGTTAGAGTATTAGTGAATCGCCCTTCTTGACCGACTACGAACCAATTAGTATTTTAGGAAAAAACTTAGATACTGGTTTAGTTTAAAGTCTAACAAAAGCATATGACATTTAAAACGTGCGATTTTTCATCTTCGATCTTAAAAGTGCTTTCTTCGAAGATACAAAAACACCTCTAATCTCATGAATGTAGTTGGAAGTGATAAAGTGATCAAAATGGAAATGATGAGACATTCTCGTGCTTTACGAAACGAGTTTGAATATTTCATGTTCCGCTTCCGCGTCAAATATATTTGCATTATTTAAACGAAAGGCTAATTTTTATTAAAACATGAGCTTAGTTCACTAGTAGGTCCCTTGAAAGGGAAGTTTCCAAACAGCCCTAATATTGATTTGGAAATAAATAATGATAAGGTGACAGTAGTTGTAGATAATGGTATAACTTTCAAAATAAATTGAAGGTCTATAAGAAAAAGGATGTTCCAGCTTTACTCTATGATTAGAATACGGTTATTCATGGGATGTACACGAATTTGGATGTTACTACATATGAAATAATTAGGGTAGGTTATACTAAGAGGGCAAAGAATACAGAACTAATATCACAGTCTCAAAGAAGATTGTGTAGGTATGCGGTCATTCAAAGTAATGGAAAGAGAGATCGCTAATTTTGCACGGCAAATAATCTGCTGAAAGAGTTAAGTGTAGTGTAGAATAAAGATTTAGTAATTTGAATGCAGGACATTGCAGGAAGAACATTCTCGACGAACAATGTAGTTATACGATTACAATATAAGTCCAATATATTGCAGAATATGGAATGAAACTTGAAAGCATGCCATCAACTCAAACTTGCATTATTACTTTAGTAATATCTTTCGAATACACAAACTTATAATTTCCATAATTGATTGACTTTAAGTACTTTAACTGGAAAATGCTGTTAAGTAACTTCCTGAAATGTGATTAGCTGATTACACCTCAGTGAGCGAATAAAATTAAAATAACTTCATTTTAAATTTGCGATATTTAATTTTATAAGTTTAATCTTTGTAATATAAAATTTATTTCAAGGGTTTTATTAAATTTTGTGACGATAGAAAGTTATATTATAAAATGAAAAAATTAGAAATTTTAAACTTGATTCTCAGGCTTTTATCCAAATAAAAATCCAATACAACTGAATACCGAACGATCCTCGAGATCTTCACACATACATCATTTTTACAATACACCGTAAGAGGTTGTTCTGTCCCACCAGATCAGCATGACTATAACAAATTTTTTGAATCGGCATTAGTTTTACTTTCATTTGAGGTGCCTACATACGAAATTTCATTTTTTTCATCTGCCTGAAGTTTAAGGAATATTTTTACTAACACAGAAAACCGGACATTCATATGGTCTTTGTAACAAGAATTATAAAAGAAACCCTTTTTGGAGGTTTGGGCAGTTTTTGGGCTGTAACTTTTTGACCCGTTGGTCTACGTAGCCGAAAAATAGCGACCTTTCTTATATCCTGAAGAACATGTATATCAATTTTCAAGATGATCGGACGTTTCTACACGAAGTTATCATGCACACGGACAACCAGACGGACAGAGAGACGGACAGACAGACGGGCGGGCAGACAGACAGACGGACAAACAGACGGCCGGACAGATAGACAGTAAAACAAAATTACAAACGATGTCGAGGATCGTTAATAAAGAAAGGATAATAGACGATTGGTTGCGGTGATAATTAATTCTATTCTACATCAATTTTGTAACCTATAATTATAGTTTAACGTCAAAGAAGGGTTAACTAGACAAAATCCAGCTGTAATAAACATTTAATGTAACATCGAAGCGCTTACGTGTTTGATGAACGTTGTTGAGCGGACCGGACTCCAAGTATTCGGTTTGGGGGTCAACTCCGACCAAAGCAGGTAAATCGGACACCTTTTTGGGAGTTGATAGTTTTCGGGAAGCATCCATGCCGTTTGATAAATGTATCACTTTCGTATTACCTAAAGGTTCGACTACCATATTCTTTGCAGCGGTGCACCCCATTTTATCGACAAGTGCTGAAAAAGATGATTACTTTAAAATAATGTCAATTACATGGGACCTTGAATTCTTCTAATTGTCTACAGCTGTAATGACATCCCGATCGGTACACAAAGTGTGTATGACGATACTGACAACTAATTATAACAGATTGGGTATTGATATTTCCTTAACTTTGCTTATGAGTGATTGAAGTAAACTAATTCATAGCAATGGTTGCAGTAGGTCATCAATAAACTAGTAATTGTAAGAGAAAATAATAAATACAGATGAATGCAAATTACCTACACAAAGTACCTACACATTGGTTTACTCTACCGATCCAACCCATTATACGCGCGAGCACACTGATAATTAGGTATGTTAGGAATTATGTAATAATAATAATGATAATAATATACACATCCAAAACATCTATGCTAAACATTATGGAGTCAAAGCAGTCGCTATGGATAAACTTCATATTTGCGAATTAATGACGAAACTGAAATCAAATTACAAGTAAAAAGGTTTTCTTTCGCCCTAAGGCGAGTAACTTCAGCGCATTTTCCATGAATTGATCAGGACTTCACAAAAGGTCATAGCTATGTGCGCTGTGTTTTTCTTTACTAGAGGCATATATGGTTAAAATTTCAAAGAAATATATCCATAAATAAAAAAGTTGGCATTGCGCAGTTTGCGCATGAGGACATTTATTTTATGCTATAGATAGGTATACACTAGAAGTGTTTCTGGTTAAACTTTAAAGATAGATTTTCATAAGTAAAAAAGTTGGAATTTTGCAGTCTGGGCATGCGTGCATTAGATTTTTACTATGTGCGATGTGTTTGCCTTTCCTAATGACACGTGTAGTTTTCGATTTTTACAACATGTGATATGTTTTTCTTTACTAAAAGCATCTATGGTTAAAATTTCAAAGAAAGATCTTCATAAATAAGGAAATTGGCACTGACTGCGCATGCGCCCATCTAATTTCTGCAATATAGCAGTTATGTTTGCCTTTAACAGAAGCATCTGTGATTAAAATTTCCAAAAGATATCTCGATAAATAACAGTTGATAGTGTGCATCCTGCGCATGCGCACATCAATGTGATGTTTACAATATGCGATACGTTTGCTTGCACTAAAAGCATCTTTGGTTAAAATTTCAAAGAAATATCTCCATATATAAGAAAGTTGCCATTGCGCAGTGTGCGCATAGACACATCTGATTTTTACTATATGCGATGTGTTTGCCTTCATTAAAAGTATCTGTGGTTAAAATTTCAATAAAATATATTAATAAATAAGAAAGTTGACATTGAGCAGCCTACGCATGCGCAGAGTTTTCTTGGCTCAGGTGGCAGAGCTATACGCTACCGAATGCAAAAAGAACGAACTTAATATCTTGAGAACTGTAGGAGTAGTTAAGGCCTCGGACATATGGACGGACAGAGTGGCTGCAATAGCACAAACAAACTTCACTGGAAAATGCGCTAAAACTGCAAGCAAGTTCAAAATAATGTTGGGCACGAAAAGGCATCATCCAATGAAGAAGGCAAGCAAAAGCAACTAAGCACAAAAACGATAAAGTATACTAAAGCCGACGAGGGCAAATAATACAAAAATCTGAGCAAAAATCTAACAAGACGAACGAGTAGAATAGTTAAAAAATCGATGCTCATGACGTGCAAATGAGCAATGTGATGTTTACTTATCTGTGAAGTTGGCTCGACTCATTTGTGTGGTAGTAACCGAAAAATACCTATACAAAATACATAACATATACATAATAAACAAAAAGTTAATCCACCTTTAGCCACCTTATTATTTAACAAAGCCATAGATACCCATAACGTAGATAATACCCTAGGGCTAGTTCGGAATTCTTAGTAATTGTAGCCCCCTCAGAACATATGGACAGATTTTAGGCAGCATTCCCAACTAGGACAAAAATGTAATCCTTAGCATTTAAACATCGATTACCATCTTCGACAGGTCAAAGATCTGAATTGAAGTATTCGTACTCGCCATACTAATGAAACTTTTTAAATAACTTCGAAATCATTCACATGGCGTACCACAAGTCCACTTTTTCAGGTTATGTTAATGCTTTTAATTCCATTTTTTTGTTATATCGTTGCTATAGTAACCGCGTGATTTAATTGTTTATTCCCATCGGATTTCGGTATCAATAATCTTAACTACGCCTAATAAAACTAAGACAGCACTAATAACGGGAAGGAGAAGGTTGAACCTTAAAGAAATCACGGTAATGGACCAACAAAAAAACTAGAGCGAAACATGCATATACTGAGAGTAGAATTGGACAGCAGCTTAACTGTCCCGCATGTGAGGAAGATAACGGATAGGAGATGACAAACAAATTATCTAGGATACTAGCCAATAAGGAAGGGTCGAGATCCAGCAAGAGGAGGCTACTAACCAGGGCAGTAGATAACATAGTCTACAACGCGGGAGTGTGGGAGGAGGCACTGAAATAGGGAATAGTAAACAAATTGCTCAACCAAGTACAGATACAACCGGCGAATAAGATCTGTAGTACATTCAGGACGGTGGCAGCTAAGTATGTAATGGCAATGTCCAACTGTTAATTAGAAAAAAGTTACATATGTGGAGTGAGGACAAGTTATGTGAGGAATTAAAGGAGCTGTGAGAAGCTAAAAGATAGTGGACTAAGACTATATTACCGAGTGTTGGAAAGTAGCAAAAAAGAAAAGATGGCGAAGTGGAGTATAGGCTGACCCAACTATTGACGGGACACGAACAGAAAGTAAGATGCCTAGATAGAATCAGGAAAAAAGGCAATGCTGACTGCAAGGATTGCGACGTGTATGATGACAAAGGGACTGCCTTCGTCACTGTCCTAGGTGGCAAGTGCAGAGGAAGCAATTGGAATGTCACACAGAAGGGAGAATATCTCCAGAGTCACTGCAAAAAGTAATGTGCGAAGATTAAGGCACTGGCATAAAATCAATGGCACACAAGAGGAAGAGGGTAGGCAATAGTAGAAGCGCGCAAACAGCACAAACAAACCATGAAGCTTACAACTATGTTATCCACACCAGCCACCGGGCCATCCACAGGTGAAGAAGAATGCCTTGAGGCGCTACCCAGCCGTGCCATAGTAGTGAGAGGACCTCACCTTTATGGAAGGAGGTTTCCCGCTTATTTATTGTTGTCGAATTTCGAAAGTCAGGATTCAACATTGTGTAATAACATTGAATATTCAGATTTATTATTCAATGGTAATAAATAAGGTGCTTCATCAAAGACAGTAACTGAGTTATTATCGTTTTGTTTATTCATTTCGGCCACTGAACCGTTCTTTCCAATGAAACATTTGCAGCATCTTTCTAAAAAAATAAAAAATCGTTTTCGTTCAAGCATAACTCTTTTTCCAGCCCCAGAAATCGAAATTTATTAACTATATAGAATAACAAGTAATCTGTCGATAAGTAGCTACCCTAAAATTTATTAAGATTTGCGTTTGTGATAGCTTTGAGGTAGTACTTTTTACTACTTACATCATGTGTCATATAATATTGATAAATAATTCGAAGTCGACATAGGTGCACACATTATACACACACATATGTCCATTTTAATACATCGGGCCATATCAAAATTGGGAAGGGCATTGAACTACAAATTACTCTTATGACAAAATATATTGCATGACATGTGGAACAGAAGTAGGTAGGTAATGTGTGTGTTGTGTCAATTACATTTCCGCTTTTATCGTCAAGAGCTTTAGCCTTTTTATGTATCGAAAGACCAATTGCGACAGTTTTAATTTTAGAGCTGCTTAGGTAAATAGTCCATTACTCTAACATATAGATGCAAGCCTGTTATCGCGCCGTGTAATTATTTGGCAATTTACGAAATTAATTACTAGCTTATCCGCTATGTAATCTGAACTCTGAAAATAAGCCAGCAATGTTATCCTAATGACATAGAAATAAATCAATAGTTGCCAAGTCCGAGCTTATTACTATTCAAACATGTCTTAGCAAATCGATAGCGATACAGAATTTAACATAATGCTTTTTGTACAACAAAAATATACAAATTTTGGAATATAAAGCATATTCTTCAATTCCTTAATTTATTATTCGAATAATTACCATTAAGATAATACGTTTAAAAGGTTACATCCCTTATATTCCTACTCTTAATTGATGGGATTGTCAAATCGCACTTTACAAAATGAAGCAATGCTAATTAGACGACTGTCACTAATTGCCGAAACATAAGATACACGACAAATATCTATTTATCTAGCGTCCGTCCAAATTAAATTACTTACGCTTAGTTTACAAGCACCAATGTCGAGGTAATGTGTCATTTCGATTTGCGTGCAGAAAGATCAATCACGCAAGCGTCTCATCGTTAAAAATGTAACAATAGATGCAATGCTTCTACAAGAAAACACGTTTAATTCATTAATTCCACGGAAGGAACTTTTGTCAAAGCTTTGCACACTAAATTCACTAATCGTAAGGTATACCGAAAAACAAAGAGTCCATTAGTGCTTCTCAATAAAAATGGGTTTAAAAATTGGATGGGAGAACTGGTATAGGATAGCTGGCTGAATGTAATTTTTCAGAAGTCTTACAACGCCCATTTCTGCAAAGAACCTTTACCAACACAATAGTACCTTCTTTCTACTAAAATATGCTTTGAAGGACACAGAGAAAGAAAAGTTTTACGTTAGTTGTTCACTAATGATGACAGCTTCGCTGTCGAAACGCCTACGTTTTATTGTATTGCTTCTTGGTGTTTCGTTTTATTTTTGTTATTGGATTAAAGTCGTAAAAGGAGTAGATAGAAAGTCATATGCATCGGAACTGATGTCAGAAACTAGAATCCCAATAAAGTGAGGACAGAGTCTTAATTTAATAGTGAAGACAAGTTTTTCATTTTTCCAGAAGAACTTATGATTATTCTTTAGAATAACTTCTTTACATATTGATAATTATAAGAGTTTATGGCTCACGCATTCACTAGCAACAC